TGGGGGGGGCAAGAGTATGGATACACAAAAGGCCAGTTCCAATAAAACACTCCTAAAACAGTAAAAATTTACCTTGTTCCGGGCAATGGTATGGTCAGACGATACTTGTTCTCTGGATGCAAGTAAATGAGAAAATCTGGCCCTCACAAAGAGAAGACTTTTTGATTGACATCTGTTGGGAAAGAAAGCACCAGTAAGCTTTTATAAACAAAGTTACAGTATTAATGCTTAAATTAAAGGCTCTTAACATTTTCATACTTAAATACCGAATTTAAAATAACAAGGCAGTCAGGGAAAATTTCCATTTTTCCACAGAAAATGAAAGCAATTTTTTCTTGCCTAGTAGTAGAGCAGCAAGAAGTACTATTTTTAGTAGCAAGGAAGTAGTACCCAGTAGTAGTAAGGAATATTTAGCAGCAAGGGAAAGTAGTAGTAGTAAGGAAGTAGAAATAAGGAAGTAATGTAGCTGGGGTAGAAAAGGAAGTAGTAGGAGTGGTAATAAGGAAATAGTAGTAGTAGCAGCAAGGAAGTAGTTAGTAGTGAGGAAGTAGCAGTAGTAAGGAAGAAAGTTGTAGTAGTAGAAAGGTAGTAGTAGTGGTAAAAAGTTGTGGTTTAGTAGTAAGGAAGTATTTGTAGTAAAAAGGGAATTAATATCGTAGTGGTAATAAGGAAGTAGTAGTAGAAGTAAGGTAGTAGTTGTAGTAAGGATAGACCCTGCTGTCTTCAAGAAGGCACTGGACTGGCCCCAATGTCAGTACTGACCAGCGGGTTGTGGTTCATACGTCGGTTTGCATCACAGCCGGTTGATCAGGCCCTGATCCACCCTGAGGCCTGGTCAAGGACCAGGCCGTGGAGGGTGACCCACGAAACCCTCTCCAGGTAGTAGTGGCAGCAAGGAAATAGTAGTCTGAAGTAAAGAAGTGATAGTAATAGTGGTAGTAAGGTAATTTGTAATAGAAGTAAGGTAGTAGTAGTAAGGAAGTAGTAGTATTAAAGGGAAAAAGTAGTGTTTGTAGTAAGGAGTAATAGTAATGTAGTAGAGAAGTAAGGAAATAGTAGTAAGGAAGGGGTAGTACAAGTAAGGAAGTAGTAGTAGTAGTAGTAAGTAGTAGTAGTAGTAGTAGTAGTAAGGAAGTAGTAGTAGTAGTAGTAAGGAAGTAGTTTACCTGGAGTTTACCTGGAGAGAGTTCCGGGGGTCAACGCCCCCGCGGCCCGGGCTGTACCAGGCCCCTGGTGGATCAGAGCCTGATCAACCAGGCTGTTGCGCTGGCTGCACGCCAGGAGTAATAGTAGTAGTAGTAAGGAAGTAGTAGTACTAGTGGTAATAAGGAGTAATAGTAGTAGTAGTAAGGAAGTAGTAGTACTAGTGGTAATAAGGAAGTAGTAGTAAGGAAGTGGTTGTAGTAGTGGTAGCATGGTAGTAGTAGTAGCAGTAGTAAGGAAGTAGAAGTAGTAATAAGTAGTAGTAGTAGTAGAGGTAGTTTGTAATAGTAGCAGAGTAAGTGCAGTAGTAAGTAGCAGTAGTAAGTACAGTAGTAGCAGCGTAGTAGTAGGCAGTGTAAAGCAAGTAGTAAGCAGCAGTAGTAAGCAGCAGTAGAAAGCAGCAGAGAAAAGCAGTAGAGTGATTAGTAAACTTTTAAGAGCAAGGGAAAATAGTAAGTAGCAGTAGTAAGCAGCAGTAGTAAGTAGCAGTAGTAAGCAGCAGTAGTAAGTAGCAGTAGTAAGCAGCAGTAGTAAGCTGCAGTAGTAAGTAGCAGTAGTAAGCAGCAGTAGTAAGTAGCAGTAGTATGCAGCAGTAGTAAGTAGCAGTAGTATGCAGCAGTAGTAAGCAGCAGTAGTAAGCAGCAGTAGTAAGTAGCAGTAGTAAGCAGCAGTAGTAAGCAGCAGTAGTAAGCAGCAGAAGTAGTAAGCAGCAGTAGTAAGTAGCAGTAGTAAGCAGCAGTAGTAAGCAGCAGTAGTAAGCAGCAGTAGTAAGTAGCAGTAGTAAGCAGCAGTAGTAAGCTGCAGTAGAAAAGCAGCAATAGAAAGCAGCATAGAAAAGTAGCAGTAGTAAGTAGTAGTAGTAAGCAGCAGTAGTAAGTAGCAGTAGTAAGTAGCAGTAGTAAGTAGCAGAAGTAGCAGTAGCAAGCAGCAGTAAGCAGCAGTAGTAAGTAGCAGTAGTAAGCAGCAGTAGTAAGCAGCAGTAGTAAGCAGCAGTAGTAAGCAGCAGTAGTAAGTAGCAGTATTAAGTAGCAGTAGTAAGCAGCAGTAGTAAGCAGCAGTATTAAGTAGCAGTATTAAATAGCAGTAGTAAGCAGCAGTAGTAAGCAGCAGTAGTAAGTAGCAGTAGTAAGCAGCAGTAGTAAGTAGCAGTAGTAAGCAGCAGTAGTAAGTAGCAGTAGTAACAGCAGTAGTAAGCAGCAGTAGTAAGCAGCAGTATTAAGTAGCAGTAGTAAGCAGCAGTAGTAAGCAGCAGTAGTAAGAAGCAGTAGTAAGCAGCAGTAGTAAGCAGCAGCAGTAGTAAGCAGCAGTAGTAAGTAGCAGTAGTAAGCAGCATAGTAAGTGCAGTAAGTGCAGCAGTAGTAAGTAGCAGTAGTAAGCAGCAGTAGTAAGCAGCAGTAGTAAGCAGCAGTAGTAAGTAGCAGTAGTAAGCAGCAGTAGTAAGCAGCAGTAGTAAGTAGCAGTAGTAAGCAGCAGTAGTAAGCAGCAGTAGTAAGCAGCAGTAGTAAGCAGCAGCAGTAGTAAGCAGCAGTAGTAAGCTGCAGTAGTAAGCAGCAATAGTAAGCAGCAGTAGTAAGTAGCAGTAGTAAGTAGTAGTAGTAAGCAGCAGTAGTAAGTAGAAGTAGTAAGTAGAAGTAGCAGTAGCAAGCAGCAGTAGCAAGCAGCAGTAGTAAGTAGCAGTAGTAAGCAGCAGTAGTAAGTAGCAGTAGTAAGCAGCAGTAGTAAGCAGCAGTAGTAAGCAGCAGTAGTAAGTAGCAGTAGTAAGCAGCAGTAGTAAGTAGCAGTAGTAAGCAGCAGTAGTAAGTAGCAGCATAAGCAGCAGTAGTAAGCGCAGTAGTAATTTAGCAGTAGTAAGTAGCGTAGTAAGTACAGAAATAAGTAGCATAGTAAGCAGCAGTAGTAAGTAGCAGTAGTAAGCAGCAGTAGTAAGCAGCAGTAGTAAGCAGCAGTAGAAAGCAGCAGTAGTAAGTAGCAGTAGTAAGCAGTAGTAAGTAGCAGTAGTAAGCAGAAGTAGTAAGTAGCAGTAGTAAGCAGCAGTAGTAAGTAGCAGTAGTAAGCAGCAGTAGTAAGTAGCAGTAGTAAGCAGCAGTAGTAAGCTGCAGTAGTAAGTAGCAGTAGTAAGCAACAGTAGTAAGCAGCAGTAGTAAGCAGCAGTAGTAAGCAGCAGTAGTAAGTAGTATCATGTGGGAGTTCGATACGTGGATTAGGTAAGAAATACTCACGTAGGCTGTTATTACGTATAATTGCGATATGTGGAGAGAGCCCTTGCCAGCCGTACCTATCTCCTTGCTCACACTCGTAATACTGACTAGCCGGCTGCCCAGTACCCAGTGAGTGGGTCTTTTGAAATAGTGTCAGTTCAGCGCAATATGAAAGACCGTGACTCAGGCAGAGACGGTTGGTCGTTGAGTCAACGGACACTGGTTACTGGTAACTGGTTACTACTGTGACTGGTAACTGGTTACTACTACTGAGAGCTCGGCGACGCTAACGTATGTCGTCCCGACATACAACTAATACAAACTAGAGATGGCAGGTATACGGCTTGGGCTGATTCTATACAATGTCAAAGTACACAACAGTAAACATTATATATACATAATTAGAACATTGGAATGAAAGCTTACGTAACTGAAACTGTATGCAATACAAGGTATACTATAGTAAAACTTAAAACTCAACAAATGAACAACGAACTCAACATTGAGATTACAAGTGAAAAAAACAAAAATTTTTATCGATCGATCGTATTCGTGTGATCTACGGATTCTGAGGAAGGAATATATACAAAGAAAGAGTGTTTAACAGAAAGGCAGATTCGGTGCAGCAAATCTAGACTGTTAACTCTCAGAATGCGGAGAGAACATGAACACAAAAAAAATTCTTGAATACTGAAAAGTTTGATACTGTAATTATTCATCTATACAGGTTTTTACATTTAACCCCAACTCTGCTGGGGTAAGATTGGCATATGCAGAAGGGGTGTGTCATCTCTGGGAGGATCAAACTCTGTAGCATTGGCTAACTCATGCTGTATTTGAGGCCAAATCTGAATTGGAAGTTACAAATGATACTGAGGATTTCTCAATACCTGTCGTTACGTAGGGAATAACGACATTCAGGTTGATCGTCTGACTGAGTATCAGAGGAAGAGAGTACAGGATCAGGAGGATTGCAGAGTCTGTCACATTAGTCTGGGTTGGAAAAACATTATCATCACATACTAACTTCATATGATCCAAATGCGATTCTTTATACAGACCAGTACTAATCTCTCTAACCTATACTTATTACCATGATATTTCAACTACTCGTAAGGACCAACAAATTTTTGATCAAGCTTTGCATTGCAGACGTTTATTAAAGTTAATCAGCATAACTCTCGACCTACTTTGATTTTTGGAGGGCTTTACTCGAGTGTTTGCGACTCTTGTAATTCAGCTGTTGATTTATGAAGTTTCACGGATTTTTCTAAAACACTTTGAGCAAGCTGGTACGAGTGCTATAAAATCATCAGAGTTGTAATTTGGTTTCGGATTAGAATATAACAACTCATAAGGCAAACTTTTTATCTACACCTAAAATGCATAATGTGGAGTGTCCCCTATAGAAACATTGTAAGCAGAATTTATAGCACACTGCACATCAGGTATAACTTCATTCCAAGTTTCACAAAGGGGGAAATTGATAGTGGCTCTCAAGAAAACAAGTACTTTCTTATTGGTTCGTTCCGCAAACCCCATTGCGGGCAGGATGATGAGGAAAAAATGGTGGATTTAGAGATCTTGTACAAGGTACACAAATTTTCAAGAAGTTCATTACAGAATTCACCCCCAAATTATCTGTTATAGGGACTTAGGAGTGGTAATGCCTGCAGATAATCGTTCTTTAAACGCTTTGGTACTGTCTCGGCAGTCTTGTCAGCAATAGGAACTAACTCGCAATATTGGTGAAAGGTCTACCTTAACACAC